CACCGAACGCGAACACGATGCTACACATAAAATAATAAGTAACTAAAGTTAATAATTAATTAAATAGTTTATCAAAATAAAAAATAAAAAATGCAAAATACAAAACTTTTTTTTCCAAAATTACCGTTTTCCTTTCACAAGTTGAATAAGCCAATTATTATACTCGCCAGAATGATGATATCCTTAGCCGATGGTGACTTAGAAACTCAACTTAAAAACTGCTACAGTTATATATACTAACTTCTACACAAAACATAAAAAATATGTGACTCAAATGAAATTGATAAAGATTTAATTCCTTTTACAAGTTGGTCATCTTCCCTTCACAAATTGAATAAGCCTATCCTAAGATCATGCTCATCAGAATGATAATATCCTTAGCCGATTGTGCCTTAGAAACTCAACTAAGGAACTTAAAAAAAAAAAAAAAAAACGATACCTATACACTAACTCTTACAAAAAAAAAAAAATGGGACTCATATACAGACACAGTTACGTGCACAAATACAAAAAACCAAAAAACTAGTTTACTGCGTAAAGAATACCACGAAAAAAAAAAAAAAAAAAAACATATAATACTTTTCTCAGGAACACTCTCAAAAAAATTCCAGAACAACAAAAATTCGTCATACACCTCCAAGTAAAATGGCACGAAAGATATACCGCCAAAAAATGAAGATACGCATATGGTGACAGATTGACATACTCAAACGACGAGACTTTTCCAGGTACACCCCGCAAGGAAGGTTTCAAAAAAACAAAAACTCGTAATACACTTCCAATGAGATTGGCATATAGAATCAGGACAAAATACATCACAAAAAATATGTCGTAACATGAGCACTACAAAGCCAATAAAACGACTCATTAGAATATGATCGTTTCCACTACTACCTATTTCTTGAACTATGCACAGGATCCTGTTATGCGCACTGTAACTCATACATTCGTACGGATCACTCGACTACAAAAGCCATGACCAAACACGCTAATTTTTCTCTTCAACCTCAAATAACACAATCCCTCTTCTCCAAAATCAGATTAAATCAAACCTCTCTCATAAACATACCCAAAATACACCTTGCTTACTACCCCTTTCATTTCCTTACTTCCAAGTTAGATCCACACGCAACTATATACAATGGTGTTAGCTTGCATTGCCATCTATCGTAGCTCGACGGGCGCTACTGGATTTGTCCGCAATTGCTTGTTGTGCACTTCTATAGGCATGGAGCACGCGATCTGCAATGATCCCACCTCATTCCCGTCGCCTACGCTCGCGTGCCGAGCAAGCACGAGGGACCTAATGCTTGAGAACCTACAACGCCATCGCTAACACACTCTCTAATCCCCTCATGCCATCACTGAGTTCCATTGCGTTCTAAGAGCGGCCTAACACACAGAGGGAGAATGACGTTCATTGAAGAGATGTCGTCTTCACAGGCATTCCGCTCACTGGTAAGGGTTCACTTGAACATACCCCTAACCTTCCCCAAGCCCCCTCTTCCGTAACCTCCCCCTAACCTCCCTAACCTACAAACTAACGTGGAGCTACATCCCTCTGACGAGCTGCTACGGGTGCTAAGCGGGGAAAAACGCGCTTCAGGGCGTGCACCACCCCTGTGGCTGTCCTCAACAGCCATCACTAACCTTAATTACTAACTCTAATTACTAAAAGGTTCCCCCATAACCTAAATCACAAACCCCTCTTGCATCCTCAAAGATGAGTTGATGGCTAAAACACCCACTATGTTTAAACTGCTGCTAACCTGTCGCGATATGACAGATGTGATGTTCTTGTTTTCCGTATATACGAGATGGCCGTGTTTACACACACCTACTACACACACACACACACACACACACACACACACACACACACACACACTCTCACTCTCTTAAAACCTGATACACAATTACAAAATTAAAAATGCTAGAATTACTCTATAATAATATAGTAAATAATATTTTTATAATGAAATAATAAATAATAATAATAATAATTACTAAAAATATATACATAGTACTAAAATAATATTAATAAATAACATAAATAATTTTAATAAAATAATAATAAAAATTATCAAATAATAATTAAATAATATTAAAATAAATAAATTTAATAAATTAAAAATTAATAAAAAATAAACAAACGTAAAAAGTAAAAGTCGCAAATGATAATTTTTCGTAAAAAAATGAAGGACACCTGAAGGAACTTAAAAGAAAATAAAATACTATAAATATAAATAATAAAAAATAATCGCATAAAAAAAATAAAAAAATACCTCCCCACTGCACCCCTACTACAACCTATTGTATGCTATCCCCCACCCTGGAAATCGAACACCACACCCCAACCATACACAATGCAAACAATACGCCATACACCTATGTAGCATACAAACAACACCGCACATACCGATTATGGGTTAATACGACACACACACACACACACACACACACACACACACACACACACACACAACATTTAAAATAAAAAAATAAAAAATAAAATTTAAGAGTAAAAATTCCTTTTTATAAAAATATGAATAAAAAATAAAAAATAAGATAATAGCATTTTTTAATAAATAAAAATAAATAAATAAAATAAATAACAATAATATTAATCATAATAAAACTAAAACAATAGCAATAATAATAATAATAGCAATTATTTAATAAACACAATAATAAATAATAATAGCAAAACTCAATAGAAGCCTAAAATGATAAATTATACACAAAACTTTCCTCCCCCCAAAGAAACTCCCTCACCAACACCCCTGACAAACCATGATGTATGCACAAATAACAACAAACCAAATCCAATCATACACAACGGTAAAAGAAACAACCTATAAGTTAGCATAAACAAAGATACAATCACGCAATACCTTTGGTTATGGGGCTGGGTGAAATACTCAAGCAACACCTCGTGCACCCAAAACCCCTTTTCTTAATAAAAAGAGCTACGACTCACACACAAAAAGGAACTACAACCACCAAGCAACAGAGCGACCGGGTCCAAAACGTGAAACACCACTTTCACGAATCGACACTACAAAAAAACACAACAGGACCTACCACATAAGACACTCGAACTAAACGACACTGACAACCCGTGATAAAACCACTGTCACACTACCCCCACTACACAACAAACACCTCCATAGCCACAACACGACATGGCAACACAAACAAGACAAAAGCATGCACCCAGTAAAGTACCGTAATGCACCTCGCTCCCTCCGACCCTGATTAAAAGCACTCGCCCACGTCACACTAAGCCAAGTCCCCCGCAAGCTTACCCTTCCGGCACTAAGATCTCGTTCATACAGCCCAAGTAACCACACTACACCCGTCACTCGCTACCTCCCTACACTCCACCCCCACCATGACCATCTACAAGGCAAAACACGTATACCCCTCAATGCAATGGCAGCCTCCGCTAACCCTCCCCTGCTGCGAATACCTCTTCCTCCTACGCCCACTAACACAAACCCGACATATCACAATTACTAGGTATTCAACTGCATTCCACCTCTATACCCTCCTCTTGCACTCAGCCTCCGGCTCTGCAACGCGCAAAGATTACCTCATCACTACGCGGCAATGTTGTTGCTGCTCATCTGCATACGCCACCCTCATACTACGCAACCAGATGAGCTAACCGTCTGTCTACGGCTGGCAAGCCACCTTATTGGGCCGTCCACTCCGTGCTTTGACCAACGGAGCTCCTCATCCTTCGCTGCACCGAAGCTCGACAGCTATGGCAGCTATGGCAGCGACTGACTACGCCAATTCTCCAGACATGACTGAGGTAAGGATCCTCTCTACCCTTACCCCCAATCGCCCATGTTCTTGTATGTACCCACGACCCCCTGACTACAACTTTCTACCACCCTATGTGCTACCAAAAGCCTTGCTAACGACTAATCCCTCTGATGAGCTGCTATGGGTGCTAAGCGGCGAAAAGCGCGCTTCAGGGCGTGCACCCCCCCTACGGTTGGGCAATCATACCCATTCCTAACCACTGCTAACCTGCTAACTCTATCTTTACTGACCAGCTCCTTATCTCATTTGTGCTTTGATGTATCCTGTACCTAACTACTCCCCTTCCCCCTTGCCTAACATTGGACGTAATGACAATGTCTAGTGTCCCATTCTGAATGGGATGGTCATATTTTATACACACACCCCCTACACACACACACACACACGCACATACACACACGCACACACATACTAGCATACATTCATATATATGAGTGTATACATATATATAAAAATACAATTTCACCCC